CCTAAGAGAAATTTACTCACACGTTCAGCAAGAAACGAAGAACGCTGCACATCGGAAATTGAGGCGGCGGGTGGCAACAAGACCAAGTCATGTTGCTCAAGGCGCTGAATCGGGTGAAACGACACTGGGACAAAAAAGAGATTGTTTTGTACTTTGCATCTACGCCATCCAGAATATCTCCACAAACGAAATCTCCGCGCTCTTCTGGACGATGCTGCAACGCACATTAATGCTACGTCGCTTTGCATTCACGCCGCTACTGGAGCCTCCACAAATAAAACCTCCACGCTCTTCTCGACGACGCTGCAATGCACATTGATGCTATGTCATCGCTCCGCAAAAAACAAGACCGTAAAGAAGGAGGCGGTCAATTAGTGGGCCCTTATCATTCGTGATGACAAAGTTTCATCACGAAATGAGGTGTTGGATTTGTCGTCCATCCATCAATTGTTCTCATGAATGCTGATGAATAGAACTGCTGATGAATTAGAACTGGACGCTTTTTAGAAAAATAGAAGAGATTGTCCGCAACGAGAAATCACTCTACAAGTTTGTTTTAGGCGACTTGTGCAATAATCGGGATGCCACTTGAGAGATTGGTGTATTCAAATATAGGCTCCGGAACGAAAACGGTAATCGATCTGTTGGGCTTTGTCTCCGCAGCATTTATGGAAAACCTTCAAGAATAAAGAACAACACTAATGTACTTGGGAACCGCCAATCAAAACGATCCATGCCGAGATGGACAACAATATCCTCCCAGAAGTTGGAGCTCGTTGTTCTAGTACTATCCGTCTACATTTGCTTCGACCTGCTTCTTCGAGCGCAAGTACAATTCACTCGGAGGTTGGAAAAAAAGAACTACCATAGTCGCAAGGGAAAAAGAGGTCGTTGTTGTTTATGACGGTTTCAGATCGGAGGAGCTGATATCAAGTTGTGACCGAGCTATCGAGGTGCACCGAACGTACGACAACAACCGGCTTGTGAAGAAGTTGCGAGCTTAAGAGAAATGCGCATCAACACCTTTTGAGAAAACTTTGGGACGCATTTCGAAGACCATTAAGAAATTGCTCGTATGGAAAACTTGAGGCGGATCCAAATGCAACCAACTCGAGCGACTGACCAACGTCAGCGAGACTAGGGGTGTATCCCAATACTTGTGGCTGTCAATTACGCAGGGGCCGCGCGCGACAGGCTGGCAGTTATCAATTGCGAGGAGAGCTCGGGTAGCCGACTTGCAAGGCATACTATATCATTTTTTGTCAAGGTTTTTACACTATTATATCAAATTTTACTGTTTGATGGAAGTTTGGCCTCAAATCTTGCAAAAATGGATAAGCTAGTAAATGGAAATATGGAAATTAGTACTATATGGTCACAAAACATGTAATTTTTGCTCAATATAACAACGTGACCCCCAAACACGTCCTCTGGGACATTTCCTCCGTCCCTGCTACCTCTCGCTCGGGTCCCTGTAATGCCAGCAGTTTCTAATTGACACCCACAAGTAATGGGCGCCCCCCAGCGACTGGCCAACGACGGTGCGGAACGAGAGACGGCCTTTGCGCACGAGGTCTCTGGCGCCACCCTGATGACTTGTTCCAGTACGTTACCACGCGGCAAATCTCCCTCCCTTGTGCTTTGCACAGGCAGAAACCGCCACAGGGTGTGTCGGTGCGGTGATATTCCTGTGTGGAGAGCACTGCGGTAGTGCGAATTGCCCTACACCCGTTGCGGTGCTTGGCAGGGGGGGGGTCTGCGGACAAGCAGGATAATCGACTGGAAGAACTCAAAGGAAGGCAAAGTCTCAAGAGCCGGAGGGTCCCACAATATCACATTCCCAGCAGCATTGTTGAACAAAGTGGGACTTCGACTTCTTTTCAATAAAAGAAAAATTTCGTCGCAAGTATCTTCTAAACCCACCTCTTCGGCTCATAGCGCGCATGCCGATGCCCTTTACACTAAAGAAGAAATACCAATATCTGGAGTGCGCACCGCGATCCAGAACATGAAGGCTTTGACGGCTTTAAGACCAGATCACTTTTCTAACGAACTTCTAGGAAAGGAGGACACTGTCTACACGAGGTTCTCGTTCCGCATCTAACATCAAACCAACAGAAGAGGTTTCCAGATTAGTGGACAATCTCAATAACCTTCCTTTTCCATAAAAGTGTGAACTTCAAGATTTTTGTAAGCACCGTCTGGTATGTCTGTTGAGTGCGTTGAGTATTTTGAATTGTCCTCGCTCGCCTATCAACGCTGGATAAAGCTCAGCCCCAGCAAGCTGGACTTGGCACGATATACAGTTGCATGGACTACATTCAGACTATCTCAAGGACTAGTTGGCTTTCCCGGCCCAGCCCGGGTCATTGGTCACTTGTCTGCAAGCCCCCTTCTTATATGTTGTGGATGACTTACCCTGGGACCCGCTTCGACGAAACCGCATCCTCGTGATCCTGATGTGAAAATGAGCTTCACCGCCCTTCCTTTACATGACTATGGTAAAATGCTTGATTAAACAAGATAAGCCCTCAGTTCCTCAGAAAAACGTAAACAAATCAATAAATCGATAGAAGGGCCCAAATCGCTGCAAAAAGTAGCCTATCATCTGCGCAGGGGTCGAAAACATGTGTGTGCAAAGTTTCAGCTGAATCGGTTGAGCGGTGCGCGTTTCTATAACGCACATACCCTCCAAACTGACAATTTTTGAGTTTTATATATATATATATATATATATATATATATATATATATATATATATATATATAGATTATAGAAGGCTGCCGGGAGTATCACTTGCCTCTTTACTAATCTTCGTCTACTATCAAAATCCTGTCGGCGCTAGTTTCTCAGCTCAGTCTAGACTCAGCTTATGTGAGGACATTGATAGACTGCTGTAAGAAAAGTAAAAGAAAGATGCAGATAGTCATCGCCCTTCGGTTATCTTAAAGGCAGTGTCCGGGCAAAATCTCGTTTTCCAGTTTGCCTTTTCGCATCCCCTCTTCAAGCTAAACTCATATCTGAGCTTCACGGCGCACGAAAATGGCGGAAGAGCTTTTTTCATAGTTCCTTGTGTCCGAATTCGCTGGAAAATGCGTGTAAGGTGGCGGAGTCAAGACCTCCAGAGTGAATTTCACGCTTCCCAGAGGCGTTTTCTCTCTCCAAACTTCACTGTTAGGTTAGCAGGGGGTCTATCACTGCAAGGCTGTAAAATTCCAATAATCATAACTTTTCAAGGACACTGCTTTCAATTGGACAAGGGGCCCATTTGTGCGACACAATGCGCCAAAGCCGTTCACCACGATGCTGCATTGTGTGATGAAACATTGGAGTGGGACGAGAGAGGCATGTAGGCTGATGGGGGATTCCCTTCGAATTTTCGTTTTGCAAATGACATTGTTTTTTTCTCGAGCAGTACACTGAAGCAGAGATGGAATAACTAAACGGTAAGGGATGGGGTTGCGAATAAATAGGAAGCAGACTCTGTTATAGACGTATTTTGATGGAATAAAAATTGGAAAGTACTTCCATCATGGAAACGTCTTTTACGTAAATCTATGTCTTGATGATCCAGCGTTCGAGTAACATAGAGGACGATTCAACGAAAAAACTTTTTCAAGAAGAGAGGCCTGAGCTGCCTTCGACCCTTGAAGGAAGCCACCGACGTGCCGTTAAACCTAAAGCTTCACATGTGTTCAACTCAAACGTTCTCCCACCTCTCTGCTACGCAGCTGAAACCTGGACGAACAGTGCAGCCACGTTTAGGACCTAAGGCATACCTCACGTAATTTCAGTCGCTGCGGAATTCAGCACAGAAGCAACTGTGGTAATCGGTCGTTACCGCCCTTTGTTTGAACAGGACCTGATCCCTTTGTAAGAACTTACAAAAGCTACGCACCTATGCCTCTGAAAGCCGCTCACGACGAATTTATGAAAATCTGGCAGAACGCCAAGTCGCGTGGACTTCGCGGTAAGGTATTCCTTAAGCCTTAACTTTGATGAGGTATGCCTTACGCCTAGAAGGTCGGGCATATATTACGCATTTCATCGCCTCGCTCTTCTCACGACAAGACCACTATTGCGGACTCATTGCATGCCGATCATCTTGCATCTCGGTTGTGACAGCCGCGATTAGTCGTGTCAGGAAACTGTCACAACCGAAATGCAAGATGATCTAAATGCAATGAACTCTAAGCAGTTGCCTTGTTGGGAGAATCGCGAGGCGATGAAATCGCGTGATGTATAATACTCTTGGAGCTTCGCGGACCACCCCAGGGTGCTTGAGCATGTTTTTCTAAAAATGACTCAAAATAAGCAACATCTTGCTGACTCTGGAAATGGAAAGGATGTACGTCTTGGTGATTCAGCGAAATACAATGAGAGCGAAACCGATGGGCCATTACGTCATTAAACAGACGACGCAAACACTGAGAAGATCAGAGCGTTAATTGCGAAGCAAAAAGCCTCCGAAAGCCCACAAGAGATGTGTTTGTGCAAAAAGACAGATTAGTTGCGAAAGTAACTAGGTGAGCTCTGGAATTGGAAATGGAATTCGTGGTCACATTCACCAACAAGTTGAAATCTCGTTTTTGAAAGAATTGCAAATGTCTGAGGCGAAGGACATGGACAAAAACCCCTAGATTTGGAGTATGCATGCAACGTCAAGACGGGCCATCTCAGTACCTAAGAAAGTAAGTATCATCGGCTCCACGATTCGTGTAAAGGCGGGGTTTTGCCAACTCAAAGCGTGGCGGTTTTTGATAGCGAGAGAGTACAAAAAACAATGCTATAACGTGGAGGTTTAACAAGTTTATCTGTATTAGCAGGGAAAGTCTGCAGTACACCTCTACACGAATCGTGGAGACGATCATAAGTCTTTATCTGCAAATCACTGCCACGACAACTTGTCGTTCAACTCTACAGCATGATCAATCAAGTTTACTCTCTTTGCTTCGGACAGCGTCTATTAGGCTGCATTCAAAGTAAGAAGTGAAACTTACCTTGCTTGCTTCTTCTTTCTTCTCCTCGGGTTTCTTCTCCAATCCTTCTGCTTTAATATCTACTTCTTTCTTTTCTTCGCCCTCTTTTTTTTCTTCAGGCTTCTTCTGCTCGCTTTCTTTCTTCTCCTCGCCCTCTTTCTTTTCCTCACCCTCCTTCTTTTCCTCTTTCTTCTCTTCACCTCCTTCCTTTTTCTCCTCACCGCCTTCCTTCTTCTCCTCTCCCTCCTTCTTCTCTTCGCCTTCCTTCTTTTCCTCTCCTTCCTTTTTCTCCTCACCGCCTTCCTTCTTCTCCTCTCCCTCCTTCTTCTCTTCGCCTTCTTTCTTTTCCTCTCCTTCTTTTTTCTCTTCTCCCTCCTTCTTCTCCTCGCCTTCCTTCTTCTCCTCGCCTTCCTTTTTCTCTTCGCCTTCCTTCTTCTCTTCGCCTTCCTTCTTCTCTTCGCCACCACCTTCCTCCTTCTTTTCTTCTTCTTCGCCTGCTTCCAATCTTTCGCTATAGCTATCTCGGCCAGCTCTCAGTCTTCTAGTCCAATGTGACGAATACATTGCGTGTAGTGTATGCAGCAATCCTCACCAAAATGAAAGTCACCGGACTTTCAGTCCTTGATGAGGAAATGATAGGAGACCAACAGTGAACAGATAAGCCAATATTAAATCTTGTTGAAACGTGTCAAAGACCGAATGAGTTCTCAAAAATATTGAATGAAGAAGTTTACTCTACGTTCAATTTTTCCTTCAATTCCGTCTATTCTACGTGCCCTAAGGCTTCGGACATACTATGGTTCATTTTCAAAATCGTGACGACGAGTTGATTGCGGTCTTTCCGCACACAGTAGGATAAAACACCCATACAAACAAGCAACACCTCAACGCTAAGCTCAGTCATTTCCAGTGCCTGAATACTATCATATGTAAGCAGAAAAACTGTTTGAGTAGCTATAGAAACCAAGAATTGGGAGTGCGTGCGTGTTGCGCGCGGTCGCGCCATCGTCACGATTTTTCGAATGCCCCATACACGCAATATCAGCCGCCGCGATTTCCCAAAAAATATAAAACTCTATTTTTGTACATTTAGAATGCCTTTGAGGTGATTTGTAAACACAAACAATTATAATACAATGTTGTCAAATCACGCTTGGAACCACTTGAAGTATCTCAACGTGGCCTGAGGCCTAAGGCCGCGATTCAGCCGAATCGCCACTTTCACGCGACTTGGCAGTTTGCCAGATTTGTACTAATTTATCGTGCGCACTTCTCGAACGCATATTTGCGTAGCTTGTGTAAGTTGTTGCAGACGGATGAAGTTTCAACCAAAGGCAGCGCATTAACGACGGATTACGAAGAGTCGCTCTTGTGCCAAATCGGGCAGCGACTGGAATCGCGCAAAGTATGCCTTGTGCGATTAAACTCGTAATCAAGAAAAGTCGTCATGTCAAAGGAAAGCATTGTCACTTTTGTGTACTGGGTTTAAACACTTTCATTTTGCTGGTCAAGAAAGCGGAACTGGAGAGATTTGCTTAAAACCCGTTTTGAACGACAATTTGCTCTTTTTTTTTGCTGTTCTTCCTATCCTTATGTTACAATATGAATGTGTTGAGCATCACAATGTCAATTTTTACATTCAGTTTTTTACCTTTTACTTCCAGTCACCTTTGATTTTTACCTCGGACAACCAAAAAATTCCCTATTAATAATTCGAATAGGGCCTAAAATGTTGGGTAGTAGTTTATTTGTGAGTCTACGGCATGTCGCTTTGAGAGTTTTGCTAACGTCATAATGTCAACGATACCTCTGAGCCGCTCAGTAATTATACAAATTTTTGGTAATCATTGAAAAATAACTGCTGCGGGACTTGATTTGTGAACGATCTACAGAATGTGCCCATCTCAGTTAAAGGATGCGCCCCTCTTCGGCTTATCTTTAACTTTCCTCTCAAAAATCTATTCTCACAAAAATTGTCTTGATTTTCCAATAGAAATCCTGCAACAAAAAAAAGATTCTGATCCTCTTTGTATCAGAGCTTAAGCCAACTCTTCGCTATGGTAACTTAACCTTCCACTGAACACACTTTAAATTATCTGCGAATTTTGCCGCAGTTTAACAGAATACGGGAATTTGCATGACAGCTGCTCCTTGCTGGAGTAGATTCTTATCATCGACCTGAGGTCAGAGGTAGCCAAGCAAGATTGGGGTTTTGAGATTTCAGTATATGTGAAAGTGGTGGGCTTCCGTGCAGCAACTGGTACGGGCTGTAAGCCAAGGCGCATGCGCGGCTTGTGGCTAATGTTTGCTCGCTACATAGAATTAATGTTCTTCAATTCTCATATAATTGCTCCATGGGTACGACTCTTCCAACCAACAGTCATACAAAGGGCCAATTCGCAATAGGGAATAAAGTGCTGATGCTTGATTTGGAAAATGTGTCGAAATGAGAAGTAGCTTATACCAACGACCCAGTGGCGGACCGAGGGGGGGGGGGGGGGGCGCCCCCCTCCCCCCGAGAATGGGCCGCGAAATTTTTGAAACTTACCTATATGGGTTGTAAAAATGTGCAAACGACTTGTTTGCACTTGAAAGTAATTAAAATAATTTCTAAAATTTTTTAAAAATTCATTTTAGCCATTTTTTTAATTCATTTTTTTTTAAAAAAATTTTTTCGGGACGTGGCTCACGCCCCGAAAAAAATTCCCACTCCCTTTTTCAGACTTTAGGGGTCGGGGACCCGCAAAAATTTTGAGAAGCACCCCAAAAATTTTTTCGGAGTGCGTGGCTAACGCCACGCACCTTCTTTAGAAAATTTTTGTCGCCCCCCCCCCCCCGAAAAAAATTTCTCGGACCGCCACTGCAACGACCGAAAAGACCTCGCCAGTGTAAACGGCTAAATTCTCTTATGAAATGCTATTTTGACGGCCTTTCATGACGCTGAACCTATTACTGATTGAAAGGCGGAAAATGTCGAAAGCAAAGCTCTGCAAAGCTCAGCTGCTAAATTGCGCTGTATTCATACACACGAATTGTTCGCACTCGTATGCAGCTTCTTTTTGTGGCTTCTCGATGATTTTGGCGAGTGGGAGGAGTTATCCCACCTGTTACTCACAGGTAGTCGGTTTGGGGACTTACCTGGTATCATACGACGTTGAAGTCTCCGATCCCTCAGGTGTGTTAAAGTAGGTCGCTTTCAAAAGCAATGTCGCTTTTCAAAATGAACGCCACATCTTGTAACAAAGATTGTTAATAGGTCTTGGAAGGATTTGTCGCAGCATTTCGTTCTGTTTTTGATGGTTTTGATTGCATGCATAATAGATGATCTCTTGAAAAATCAAAATCTGCGACCTATGCTTCATGAGATGACCAAGTTCCATAATTTTTCTGAATTTCTGTAATAACCCTCCGAAGGAGTCAAAGTAACGGATGGTTAGACCAAACATTGCTAAAAATAGTGCATTTTTTCTTTTTTCGAAACCTCGCCACAATTTCTGATAGATTTTTCGTTGGGACCACCAAGTTTCAGCAGGCTTGTCTCAGACATAAAAGCATCAGACACCAATAACTCTCGGAATTCGAAACTTCGAAAAGTGGATTATGGGTTGGTTTTAAGATTAATTTCTGAGAGCAAACAATTATCGCTTTAAATTAGCGACTTTCGAAAACTCCGCTTAAAGCGTATCCTCGCATAAACTTTAATTCTGATAATTTCTCCACCGGAGGCTTAATGAACCGGAAACAAAAAACAAGTGTTGGAAAGAGGAAAAAAGCTGCATAGAATGACATCCGAGTTGCTTGCCGGTTTATTCTATAAGTTTTGAATTGACTACTGAATGTAGAGTTTGACAGCATCAAAAGAAAAAGATTTTAAAAAAAATTTAAGAAGAAGCTAAAAAGAAGAAAAAAGTTGTTCTTTGTCCTGTAGGGGCAGCTCCATTCGCAGAGTGCTTGGAGTTCTCCGAAGGATAACTATGAAAATTTCAAAAAATGGCGAAACTTGACCGTGCCAAAATGCATGGATCGCAAATTTTGGGAATTTTCCAAGAGCTCATGGCTATGCTACAATGATTTTATAACATTCAAAAAAAAGACGAAATGCTACCAAGATCTCTTAGAATATTTGTTCCACGAAATATGGCGCTCACTTGAAAAAAGCGACATCATTTTCGGAACGGCATAAGGGAATTGACTATCTCTTTTCCATGTGCTACCTTGGTAGATTTATCTCTATAACACATGGAGTTCTGACAACAACAAGACTTTCATTTCCGGTTGTCGACCAGTGTTCTGTTTCCCGAAATCCTTAATCATGTATTCAGCCATTAAGATAGTATAATGCGAACAATTTACAGTTTCTCTACAAGTTGTCGAGCTGATACTTCTATTCTGGTGGATTGCACAGCTCTATGAATTTTGTTCAAATGTCTTCTTACAGCATCCCAGTAAGAAATGAATCTCCTTGGTTTTTTATCAGCATAATGTTACAATGTTACAACAAATATTTGTTATGTCAATTGGAAGATTTTGATGCTATGAACAACGACAATTACATGTGCACCTGGATATAGGATGTACGTAAAATAAGCACTTATAGAACATTAGACAATCTTTCGAGTTCTCAAAGTTGAAAGTATAAAGATCATGATGCGCTGCTATTGATGACTCCAAAAGTCAGAAAATTATAGAAAAACAGAGAAGAAGCTCTATCAGAGGAACGTTTCCATAAAGAACAGCACAATCATAGAAAATCTGTTCGATAAAAGGCAGGCGAGATATCAATTGGGCCAATTGTTGGCTATGGTATTGCTCGAAGCAACGCTCCTTGCGCTAACATATGAATGACATGAGTATCTCGCTTGGGCCGTCGATGACCATCAAAACATAGGTAGGCCGACCATAATAGGACCATTAATATGGCGACAATCACGTAAACGAAGCTAAAAATGGGAGATCGTAAGTATTGGTGAATATGGATGATTTAGAAACATTCAAAGATGGGTGCGTTATACACAGTGCCTCAAAAAATGGATTTTGTTAATATCTCTCTTGCCTTAAGGGCACCGTCCACCCAGATTATCGACTTCCATGTTTTCGTCGTTTCAGAGCCTCTCCATGTCCCTGATCCCGAATATGAAGTCGAGCATCCGCAAAAACCCCGACAATCCCCGATTGGATGGGCGCGCACGAATAGGCGGGCATTACTAGACGGGGCGGTGCCGACTCGGGATCCTCATGCATCTTCGCTGTTCCGAAGCGATTTTCTCGTTTTCGAAGAGATATTTTGCGCCGCGGCTTGGGCATTGGCTTGATAGGGGGGCCCTACTATCATAAGCTGCCAAAAGCTCAAGGCTCCTAACTTAGGGTGGACGGTGCCTTTACATACCAATTGAAGAGCTGCCTTCAGCTTAGACTTCGAGTGTGGAGAGAAGCAGGGCCCGCTCTTCATTACTTTATGATTACGGTAGGAACTTCCAACGTACAGTGCTATTGTGAGTTAGCCGTTTAGGAAAAATCCTAAGAATCTGGGAAGTTATGTAGCATGATTTTTACGAATGCCGATTTCCTCACACAACTTTTGAGAGCTTTCAGAGTTTTTCTCACGGTGTAGTTACAGTTTGAAGAACTGAAAACAATTTGCTACCGTCTAATCTGCATGGCTTATGAAAAAGACATTAAGGTAAAGTGTAAAGCGTCATATCCAAAGTCGGCAACTCTGCGCAGCTTGATATAAGAATTTTGGCTTATTTGGTTTCCTTTCTAAGGCAAAATGTGGCTTTTGATAACTGAGAACTTTCTTTAAGGTTTGTACTGAATTCTAATTGAAGGAATAAATAAAGTTGTAAGATTTGTTGCTATAAGCATTTTGACTCCAGAACCTGCTCACCTTACTACAGTGACAACTTGTTGTCTGGTCCAATTACCGATAAAAGTCGAATTCAGAGTCTTGTCCGCTTCCATCCATTTTCTGTTCAATAAACTCCAGACCTAGAAAAATAAATCAGATTCATTGCCAGCGGTTTCATGGATGTCAATGTGTGAACGAAATAGTAGTGAAACAATGGGTCAGCCTATGCATTACACAGTACAACGGGAGTAAAGCAAGGCTATTCTAGAGGGAATGGTATCAAGGGAGATTTTACATATGCGAGGTAAAGAGGGATCTGAGCAAGGACCTTCGCGATCCCTGCGATTATTCGCAAAGCTGAATCAGAGATGGAAAAAGAGGGTGTTTTTCATGAACGACTAGTGAAGCTTTCCAAATACCTCCAAATTGATGAGTGTTGTCCATTCGCATGTTGTCACTGTTGCTTTACAACTTGGAATCTATCAAAGACAAATAAAATGGATGAGGAGACTATTTTTCACCTGAGTATTAGAAGGAAGGTCCCACCAAGCATGTTCTATGTGCGAATAATTACGCATTGCACGAGGCTTCAGGCTGGCGTGACTAGTTTGACATATAGACTCAACGACTATTCTGACATACTCGTGTTTCTTACAACAAATGTGATTGCGATTCCTTATAGTACGGCACAAATTCTCTTTGCGTTCCATCTGTAAAATGCTACAAAACCTGTTTCTCTTTAGTTTAATTCTTAATTTATTTTCTGACAGATATTTCAGAACTGTAAGGTACCTAATAAATAATTTCGGCTTCTACAAATGCTGCTGACAAATTTTGTCAGGTGTTCGGTGTCACTCGAAAGAGAATTTCAGTGAGAGTTGTGATGAGATTTTGTTCAAGTAGAAATTATTTCTCTGTGAAGGAAATGCAAAGAAGTATGATATGCCAAATTTCTCATTGTGCGCAAATGTCACGAAATTTCGCTTTTTCAATCGAAGGATTCAAAATGGCAAACGATTTTTGTGGTTATTCGCTAATTAAAAAGTTGTGTATCCAAACACTAAATTGCTCATCTCTGCATCCATCACAGAGTGAAAATAAGCTTAGAAAGTCAAGGAATCGATCATTTGAAAAGCCATATTGGGACACAAGTGGCCTTTACTAATAGTAGAAAATTCTGATTAGTTGTTTATGACAGAAGAATCTCTATACTACTTTTATCGAAAAATTCATGGGTAAAAAACATCAAAAAATGTCTTTGTGTGGCAATTTCTATGCTAAACGAATTATTTTTTTAGCCAAATTAATGTATTCGGTTGAGTTCAAACAAAGCATTGAGACTTGAATGTTGAAAAAATTGGAGGTTGGAAGATTGATTTACACAACCGTAATCATTTAAGATTGCAGTCACAGGTTGCGAAAAACACTTTTTCCACATTTATTTCAAAAAAACCTACAGTCTGGTGGGACTTTGAATTTCGTGTCCCTACGGTAATGACAACATCTGGGCGAAAACAAGTGCCATGCAATTGCATGCAGGCCGCGCGTTAAAGAAATGGCTAAAGCATTTTTTACCCTTGTTTGAATGCAAATATTGTTGACAACACAAAAACATTATATTAACCTTCAAATCCGTTAGGCTTTACACATCATTCTTATCGTTGGTGCAAGCAATTTCAACGTGGACAGAAAACCTTCCTCCTTATAGCTAGCGGGAAAACACCCCTGTTGTCTAGAATTTTGGAATAAAACAGAACGTCAACAAATTACTTAACGCCTAACATCAGTATAATCACATTGCTTCGGTCGCTGACACGCGTCACCGAGCAGGTGTTGGTTGCTGGGAAACACGGATAAGAGAAGATGGATGTTGTGACATGTTTCTATCTTTTCCATCACCGTCTATGTCGGATTAGCGTTAAGCTTTCCAGCTAATGCTAATGAGCCGGAGCATCATGATGGAAATGATGGGTGGCAGCTAAGCGGCACTTAGAGTCCCATTTGAGCCAAGAGAGATATTAAAAGCAAAAAAAAGGATCTCGCCGTATTCAATATTTTTCACAATATTAACGATACGAAACTAAAACTCTCAGCAATTTGAATCAAAGAATGTTTAAACCGGGGTGATAATTTCAAAAAAAGCACATGAATTTCCAAAAATTCTTTTGTGGCAGATGCGAAGATCCTATTTTGATAAATTCAGAATCATTTTGTGATAAATTTTATTTTACTGCTCAATCAAATTCCCCGAATTCTTCGGCGAGTAATTCTCTCTTACTCTAGAAAAAGAAAAAATATAAAAGTATCAGAGCTGTTTACCCATATCAAACTTTCATAAATTCTATCCCTCCCCCCATTATTCTTTATTGATTCTTTTTCATAATCAGTCTGTATATTCGAGTGATTTTATCCTTATTCGACTTCCCAAAGGCTTTGACTAAATGAGACAAAACTGTCTACCTTTCAACGGTTCTTAACCACGTTTTGCTATTGGACTTTCGAGATCTAAGAGATTTTAACAATTCGTCAAGGGCTTGACAGTCATTTGGTCAAAGATTTTGAGCTAAGATCACCTTTCATAATTCAGCCGTCAATCGAGAATATCATATTTCCTATCGTAACAAAAAATTTTTCTACAATAGCAGCGAGTGAGCTCTAAGCAAGTGGAGCTCAGCAAAGCTCTAAAAATTTGAAGAAGGTAGCGAACAATAATGAGTGGCGGGCTTCAGCTTGACAAGGCTCTAATAAACAAGCCAAAATTCGAACCCAGTAATGAAAGTAATGACCTTGTTGGCTAAATCAATCAGAATAAGGTCATAGATGTCGAGTGATCATGTAAGGACCATTAATTTAGCAACAGAAAGACTTCTTGAAAATCGAAAGAGAAAAGTTTAGATATGTTATAATATGTTTTGTTTTGTACGATATTATAATATATAATACTAGATACGCAATAGGTTTGGGATGAATTCAAGAGGTAAGCAAAAAAACGGGACCAATTACTCAATGCGAAGGTGACAAGAAGTCGTAGAGATCATCTAATCAGAAATTTTTTTCTCAACCATGCAAGGGGTATCATGGAAAATATATGCATCAGAACGGAAAGTATTGGACCGCTTGGCATTTTACGAACTAAAATTAGTAGAAGAAATAGAAGAGGCGATTAATTATTTTTCCTCCATGTATGAAAGCAAATGAGTTTGTTGCCAAATGCAGACAAATAAAAATTTCCAAAACTTTAGTGCAGGAATAATCAGACTCGGTACATTATACAAGTGGCAGCGGAGCATAAAACGAAACCTTCGTTGGTAGCAAAAACAAAGCCAATGTGTTAGTGTAGGTGCGGGAAAAACGTCGGCAATTGTTCGCTCATCCAGCAATAAAAAAACGTGCGAAGGATTTTGTTACACAAAGCGGCTTACGTATGACCTATCAATTGGGATCGTCGAGGAGAATAGTGGAGGGCATCAGCCGGGTAAACACTGACAAACACTCTCTCAACGAAAATGTTATATGATATGCGGGAGAAGCGACGGATTTTGACGGAGCTCATGAATATGATGAATCGAGTGGCTAATGAGAGAGAAGTCATTGGGAGAAAGTGGAGGGAAAGAGAGCACTTGGAGCTTAGCGCTAGTTGAATGTAGCGCTCGGTGAATGAGTTTCTTGAGTGAATGGCGATGCTCTGCTCACTGATGCGAAATGATGGAAGAGTGAATAGAACTCCGGAATTCCGGGAGACATGTCATCGTCCTTAGGGTACAACTATTCATCAGATTTGATTGCTATGTTGACATGTGGTTTCTCCGCTGACGACGACTCAACCTAATTCATTCGCAATTTCACAAAAGCCTAGAAATCTCAAAAATAACGGCATAATTCAGTCTTCATTCCGAACATACTTCGCGCGATTTCAGTCACGCGATTTGCCGAATACGGTAGGACAAACATTTGCTGGTTACAAATCCGTAGTGTCTTCATGACGTAATGCCCTACTTTTTGTATAAGCAAAATGCGCTTACGATTGAGTCTAAACTGCTAATGCGAAATCGCTGGCGACAGTATGTTTGGCATGAAATATTCTGAAGAAAACTTTGAAAGTGGCGAGAAATTGATCAACTGTCTTTCTAAATTGAGATTTAAAGAAGAATACAAATGTAAATAAAAAAATGAATAAAAATAAATGTAAATGAAGAAGAAGAATAGAAGAATATAAACGTAAATAAAGTGCAATAGAACGATGGCCAACAGTTTTGCCCTCATGAAGTATTGCCTTCTTATCTCACTAGGGGGTCTCTTTGCTTTCCTCTTTTCCTCGTCCTTTCCTACAGCGCTCTATATGGGGAGAATGAAGGAGAGAAGAAAAAACTTGAGGAAAATCACCTGTCTGACAAGTGCCCTAATTTCACAATTGCAAGACACACCCTTCTCAATTTTTCAAGCAAGAAGCTCGGCCGCAAAACTATGCCTCGCGAATAGGTCGCTCTCCCACACAAATCTTTTGAATAAAAAGCAGCACTATAGAGCCCTTTGGTCGTAAAATTCTTTGGTTTCTTTATACAGGTCGAGTTTAGAAGAAAAACAGGTGCGACTTGGGTAGTTGAACGTCCTACATTTGATTTGCTGCCCTTGCTTCTCGTGAATTCGAGCGGCTTCATGCAAAGAGAAGAATTATACGACTTCCAAATCCTTTGCAGGGTCATTGACTTAGCGCACAAGTCATATAAGTAGATTTCCGCGATCGTACAATCCGCATGATTTATTAGTATTAGAGATATATGCTCAGGCCACAACTAAATATATCTACGGAACAAAATTCTCTATGTTCTCGAAGGAAAACTAACGATAGGCTGAAAGTAATGAATGTCCGTAACGTTGCAGTCTATTTAGACAATCATAAACGCATAAATCTCATTTAGACCCCAAAATAGTGAAAAAATAACAAAGCAGGAAGGATAAAAACACAGAATCCGGCACAGACGTGATGTTTAACAATTTTTTTAAAATTCTTGATGTTGACTCAGATAGAGAACAAATTTGCTTTTGAACTGCAAATTATACAGGTTTTCTTTTTTGAAGATTCTTGATGTTGACTCAGAAAGAGAACAAATTTGCTTTTGAACTGCAAATTATACAGGTTTT